CTGCTTCTGACTGGAGTACTTATTCTTCACAGCCTAAAAGAGACAGATACATTTAGTTACTGTGCACAAAAAAAAAAAAAAAAAAAAAAAAACTCCAAGTCTGGCAGGCGGCTTAATAGCAGTTTGAAACAACTCACCAGATGCTTAGAAAGGCCCTCGTTGACCCTCACAACATTTTTGGCAATATGCTGCATCACAGGAACCAGCTCATCTTCAGTGTAGCCCATGTAGTGCTGAAGAGTAGGGGTCTGCAGAAGGGCAGATGAACAATTAAAAAAAAAAAAAAAAAAAAAAAAAAAAAAAAAAAAAAAAAAAGCAAGTAAACAGCCAACCCATACAAGAACTTACCCAGTCACCACAGTTGAAGACCTTCAGGGTCAGGGCATAAGCAGCACTGGCCATCTGAGAGGGAGGGTAGTGGACCATGTCATAATCGACCATGGTGAGCTCCAGGAAATATTTCGCTAATGTGTGATGTTCTGCAGTCACCTGCAATATAAATGATGATAATAATAATAATAATAATAATAATAATAATAATACTTCAACAAAGCTTTAAAATGGCTTAAATGACTTACATCTCCAATCTTGGAGGCCCTCCTGAGAAACTGTAGCGGTAGAGGCCTTCCAAAACCAAAGTTGAGGACTCTTAGGACCTTCATCTCCATCTCCCGGATTTGACTGGTGGTGTATGCACGGTCTGTCACAAAAGCAAAGTCTGCAATCTCTGGTGGGTACATCTCTTCATATTTTGAGGCGATGAACATGGCCGTTACACCAACAAGTTGCAGCTGCTTCTTTGGAACTGGATGATCCTGAGCAACAAATAAAAATCCCATTAAAAAGGAAAGTTCACCCAAAACAGGAAATTGTAAATTTACTCAGCCTTCAACTTCCAAACCAGTTTAACAAATAATATTAAAAAAAAAATTCCAACAACTTCCATAGCATTTGTTTTACCATGCATGTACATCACTAAAGATTTCCAAAATATCTTTAACTTTCAACTTGCACTTGACATCCAGAAGCAAAACTGGAAGTGCACCCACCTGAAGGAAGCGATCAATGATGGCAACAGTCATGTACATTGTCTCCTGAAGCAGCCTAAACTTAATCTGGACTTGTACAAGCCAGTCGATAAGAATGGCACGCATGTTCCCAGTAACTTCCTTTCCTGCCAGATATTTTGGCCTTACAGCTTGTTCAGTCTGTAAAAGAGAAAGACCAACATCAGCTTTCAAATACAGACAAAAAAATATTCCATATTAAAATTTACAAACCTCAAGCTGGCGCAAATACAAATAGATGTCCTTGACATATTCACTGCAAAGCATGGGATTATCATAGTCATCTGCGTCAACATCCTTGATATTAAGCAGAACATCAGAGAATGCTTGACACAGATCATCTGAAGCACAGCCGGAGGTCTCCATAGGAACAGGAGAGGAAGGCTCAGACACAACCTACAAGGAACAACAAGTACACCAATATAAGACAAGCTAGGGCATTCAACCATCTTCAATCTAGTATTTGGGGGTCCAAACAACCCACAGCTTAGAGTACAGAATTTGTCAGTTTCGATCCTGTACTTTGACTGCTACATGTCATGAAAAATAACTGTCTGATGAAGGCAAAGTAGAATCTTCTGCAGGCTGAAATCACCAGTCTAACAGAAAGCTACACTTGCATCATTCAGGTCCCCGACTTAAGAACCAGTTTTGGTAAATGCAAACAGTTGCACAAAATGTTTGTGATTAACACCATGAAAGTTTCTATTATATGGGGAAAAAGTACTACAATTAAGATTAAATAAAAAGGTATGCTAAACTCTAAAATGTGATCTGGTTTAACAGCAAAAGCCTATTCAAAGGAGTTAAAAGAAAAAAAAAAAAATTCTTGCATCGCTTTTTTTTAACATTGAAAAGACTTTTCTCCCACCCCTTACACTAGGCTGACTAGGGGCCTGATGTTCACCGCTTTCTAACCTGGCTAACGTTAGGTTGGTGAAACGCCCTGTTTAAAATTATTCAGCCGGAAGTTTGCGCGCTTATTAAAATTGGCAATTTAACGTTGATGGTTTAAAAAAAAAAAAAAAAAAAAACCTGCCCCTTGAATAAAACCTAGTCCACCGTCATACAGTAATAACAACTGCGGCAGAAATCATGCAACAGTAATCTTCAGATGCTTTGTACGTGTACCCTTCTAAACTTTATCAATTTTAAAAGTAACAGATCCACGGTTTACCTTAACGCCATGTTGAACCTTAGGAGAATCCTTCTTGGGCTGTTGAACCACAGGTGCCTTCTCAACCACAACCTCGGCGGCGGGTGCAACCTTCACCTCCTGTTACAAGTTTGGCGATTTATTTTTAAATTGAAAACTTGTCAATATTAAAAGGGGATAAATGAAGAAATTACTTTAAGCTCTTACCTTCTTCTTCAAAGCCTGTCGTGTTTGCGGATTGTTGCCAATCTCCCCCAGCGCGGCCCTTGGTCTGAGTCCGGGCTTGTTCGCTACAACTGCTTTTCCGGGCAGAGCGTTCTGATTCTCGCTGCTGGCCAGGCGAGTGTTCTACTCGGTAGGGTGGATAAAATAATCAGTTTTACAGAAATGGTAAGTGGTGGCTTAAACAGTTAGGTTAGAGAGCTTTCAACTAAAATCTATAGACATCATGCAATATAGTTCATCGTAAACTTAAAGCATGCGATTAATAGTCTTATAAACAGCACATTAAAAAAAAGTTAAAATGCAACAGTGACAAATAAAACACGATCTCTAAAATGAAACTTTCTACAAAATGCTTTCGCAAATTATAGGAACTGAAGAACGCGCTAACACAGCACCATGTTAGACATCGATAATGGAACATCTCTGGCATTCTCCTTCAGATGAATAATGAACAAAGGCTGCTCTGTACAACGCAACATACGCAGACTTAAAACTGAAATGCTAATAAAACAACTTACCCTTGTGACACGGAGAGCCATTATTTCTCGTGGTTTATTGCTGTGACTCGATGAACAAACTGGTAAAATCTACTCAAGCGAGCTCAATATAGCACTATTTCTCTACAGAGGTTTAAATTGTCGCTCTTTCAAATATGATTCGCTGGGTTCGAAAATTATAGCGATCTGATTGGCTCGGATACAGCTGATTTCAATGCGTTTCCAGGCCAACGATTACCACGTGACGTTTTGAGGCGGGGATACACTCAAACACGTTCTTCTTGGCCTGAACCGGAGTTCATTCTGGAGTTTACCAGCTCGTCACCGCCACCCGTTGCCGCGGAGCGACATTCATATATCATGTGTAAGCTACATTATTTTATTTCCTTCTAAATTGATACTTAAGATTGCTTATTTATAATAAATAAGATGTCAGGCATAATAAGAAAGATATGATTTAAGATGTGGCATCATGGTGGCACAGTAGGTAGCGCAATCGCCTTACAGCAAGAAGGTCACTGGCTGGAGCCTCGGCTGGGTCCCTTGGCATTTCTTGCTGGAGTTTGCATATTCTCCCTGTGTTTGCATGGTTTTCCTCTGGATGCTCCAGTTCCCCCCACAAGTCCAAAGACATGAGCTACAGGTGAATTAGGTGTGTGAATGAGAGTTTGTGTGTGTGTGTTTCCCAGTGATGGGTTACAGCTGGAAGGGCATCTGCTGCGTAAAACATATGCTGGATATTTTTGTGGCTCATTCCACTGTGGCGACCCCATATTAATAAGAGGACTAACCCGAAAAGAAAATGAATGAATGAATTTAAGATGTCTTTTCTTCCAGTGAATAGTTCACTATCAGCGCTAATATTGTTGCACATTTGACAAATAAATCCTTGCATATCTTGCCATAATGAAGCCTCTTAACTAAGTGTCAACTGTCTGTGCAACTACTTATTTTTGTCTTGGGTGTGTTCACACATCCACACGACTGCACAAATTTTGGAAACATCTGACACTGCAATATTTTTTTCTGTTATATATTTTGCAATATCATTTGCACATTTAAAAATTGCACATATTCATTGCACTGATTCATTCATTTGAAGTGTACATACCCACCGTACATGTACATTTGTAATTATGTTTATCTATCTGCACACTTCTAATTATTAAAAGCAACCTGTAAATATATTCATCTATTGTAAATCTCTTTTCAAAGACAATACAACCTGTATATAATGTTCATAGTACAGCCATCTGTAAATATCACGGTAGTTTTTCTGTAACTGCACTTTATAACTTATACCTGTATCCAGCACTTGCTGCAATTGCACTCCGGGTTAGACCTTATCTGCTTTTCGTTGCCCTGTGCTTGTACATGTGTAATGACAATAAAGTTGAATCTAATCTGATCTGATCTAATATGAATACAATTTCAAATTTGGAAAGAATTTAACATTTTATAGTGATTGGGGGATTTTGTATATATATATATATATATATATATATATATCTATATATATATATATATATTTGGCCTAGAAATTATACAAAAAGTAAAAGCATATTTTTGCATTGCGATTTTTAAAAATTTCTGTACCTGAATACTGCTAGACTCCCCAGAAAACATGCTATTCAAACTATCTTGTGAAACTGTATTAATATCGCACTATTTATAGCAGAAAAATAAAATATCGCAACATCAGATTTTTTCAATATGGTGCAGCCCTAGCACAAATTGTTATATTGATGGTAAATTTCAAATATTGTGCAGCCATAACACACACACACGCACGCACGCACGCACACACGCACGCACGCGCACACACACACACACACCTTTAGGATAAATCAATTTTACATTCATGTGTGGTGTAAAAAAAAACAAGTGATCAAGTGACAAATTAAAGTTTTGCAATGAAAATGGCATGAAAAGAAGGATGACATTAAATCACATCGCATTAAGTTATAAAAAAGAAACAGCTAATTACTGTGTTCATAATATATTACAATATTTTATTTTGCTTGTAGCTTTTGGGAAACAGACTGAATCTTTGGCAGACATCATAAAATAGGTTTATTTTTCAATGTATAGAAAAGATGATATAGGTACACCTTACATCCCTTTATTTTTAACATTTAAATGTGTTAAAACAAAAGATTACATGATACATGTGCCGTCTTTATAATATTTCATGGACTCCATCTGTTGTGTCATTGTTAGAACCTCATGAAATCCAGAGCTCAGGCCAGACATGTGCTGGAAATAGGCCTCCTTTTCCAACTGTATAGTCAGATTATTAACACCAGCATCCTTCAACACAGCAGACACCTAAAAACATTTCAATGGAATCATTAAAAACTGATCACTGCATTTCTCACTTAATATATAGACTACTATATAATATAGGAAGACTGAATATATGAACTATTTATCTAATCATTTGTCATAGTCATAAAACCCTCTGAAAGCCCACGTAAGTTGCTGTAAATGTTTACGAAGCATTCAAACCTGTTGAATAACTCGCTGTTCCACGACATCAGACATGAGCTGAAGATGGATGGTTCCAGCAATGACGCTGGCGGAATGTCTCCAAAAGTGTGGATCACGATAGGATAAAACACCTTCTATTTTCTGAATCTGAGACAAAAAAAGAAAGCATTAAATAACATGCAGTATACAGCATTTAGTTTGATAATCCAAAAGCACTTTCAGTCAATTTGCAGAGTTCCTAATAAATGGATGTAAAAACTGTAAAAACATATGCTCACAAATTATGTAATTAGTCATGTTGTAAAATAATGCTATTAAAAAAGAAAGTTTTTGTACCTTAACTTATTTTAAAAATGAAATGCATCACTGTAATGATCATGTTTTTAGAGTGAATGGATTATTTTATATTTAGTTTTACTTTGTATTAATGAAAAGAGACTAAAAAGGTACAATCTGTTTGCAACATTAATAAGAACCAATAATATCAATAATAGAGCACCAGGTCAGCACATTTAATTTTATGAAAGGTCACTGAAAACTGAAGTAACTGCTATGAAAATGCCAAATTGCATTAATATTTAAAGATCCCAAAAAGTTTTTTTTAGATGTTAGTATCAGTAAGTTAGTTTAATATATCTGTATCTATTAGCTAGTGCGCTTCAAAACAGTGCCAAAAAGCTGATATGAACATCCAAAGCTTGCAATTCATCACTTTTAAATGGATCAATGATTTATTTACACGTCACCCCATACATCATTTTCTCATCAAATCTTGACCAATCAAATCCTCTTGCTATTAGATATGTCCTGCTCCCTTCAAGACTCTTCTCGTTTGTTTTTAATTTGTTGTGCTTGAACTCAACCACTCTTATTGGCAAAGCTGTGGTAAAAACAAAATGCTATTGGCTGTTTTTTTTTAAATGGGAGGAGCTATTTTATTTCCCACCTTCATGTTTCAGTTGAGATTACATCAATTCAAGTTCTTATAAATAATGCACATTTTAGAGCACCTTTAAAAACATTACAGTTTTTCTTGTTTGCTTTGACCTGGTTAAAGAAACTAGGATCCACTTCATTTTCCTCATCACTATACCAGCAAAATACTCTTCTCATTGGATTGACACATTTTCCCCAAGATTTTGCACAACAGTTAACACAGATGTTATTAAAGCAGTTCAAATTGCATTGTTTTAGCAATGGTAACAAAACAGAAACCATATATTTTTAACTATTAGAAACTACCAAGATCAGTATGAAATCACTGAAGCACTGGTTTGACACTCCTTCACAGAAATCTTCAATTACCAATTAGTCCGCAAACCTTATAAAAATGGTGGACGGTCTATGTTATTCTTTGCCAGCATGGATGGAGGACGTCAACAGTGACTATGTCTTATACTCCGATAGATTTGACTATATTTTGGTTTACATTTGTTTTCTCTAATATATACAGTATTTTAATATTATTGTCTGTTTTGTTTTTTAACAATATTTCAGTTTTTATCCACAGTTTGAAAAAATGTCATGAATTCAATGTAAATTTAATTAAAGCATTTCTTATTCTGGAATCAATTATTTTGATTTGACAGCCCAAATAGAAACAAACAGCATGGGCAATAGGCTACAATGGTGCACTGATTCAAACCGAGTTCTGTATTTTGTTGTCCGTTGTGTAGTGATTGACTAAAAGAGCTCTTATACTTGTTTGAAAGTTGTGTTGTTTGAAGGTAAAATTAACATTTGCTGCATATTTTAAATGTTTTGACACGGTTAGAGCATTTAGCAAACAAAATGTGTCATTTTGACCCTGAGTGCCGCTGTTTAGGCCTGTGTGTTAACTGTTTTGAAAATGTGGAGTTTCAGTTGACAGCTGCATCAAAGCAATCAAAAAAAAAACTGTAATATGATTTTACTGTATAATATATTACATTTGATAAATGCCACTTTGGTAAGCATAAGATACTTCACTGAAAAACACATTTAAAATAGAAATCGACACACCTTAGCTCCAAACAAAAAATGTAATAGAAAACAGAAACTGTGATGTGAGAGTTTTTCAACTCTTTGTATGTTTGGACCAAAAATGTGCCAAAATGCTTCCATTTTCAATCCGTAAGTTTTCTCAAGCACCCAATTAGAGTGTTTTCTTTCTGCTGATGTGCATGCATTTGCTTGTTGTTTTGGCTAAAAATGATAAAATCTTGCAGCTTTGTTGAGCATATTTTCAAATATTTTCATACATTACTCCAAATGTTTAACTTTTAAATTCAGACCTTTTCAAGTGCAAAGTTAAGCTCCTTCTCATGCTGAGGTGGCATTCTCAGAAGAAGAACCTCACAGGCGTCCTTTAATAAAGGAATGACACTGAGAAAAATCAGTGTGGATATGAAGAGTGAACAAATGGGGTCTGCAATCAGCCATCCAAACTGTCTGATGAGAATAGTGGATATAATCACACCAACACTGCCCAGTGTGTCAGCAAGCACATGCAGAAACACTCCTGCAAATAGGGAAGCAAAGCACCATCCTCAAAAAGCAGAAAAACATCAAAATTAAAAAAAAAATGACAAACTTTTTAATTATAGATAAAATACCTTCTGCAGGAAACACACATGCACACTACGAACCCACCTCGCATATTAGCATTCATTCCTCCTGATGAATGGGAATGGCCATGGCCGTGAGAATGACCGTGTCCTCCATGACTATGTCCATGTCCTCCATGGCTGTGTTCCATGCTGCTGTGCCCATGTCCGTGGTGTGAGTGCCCATGGTCATGCCCAGAGCAGCTGCCCTTGGAGGCCCCATGAGAATGTGCATGACTGAAGGCACATATGCCCACCAGATTAACGATGAGTCCACCAACTGAGACGGGCTTTAAGGAGCAAATGGATTAAGATATTCATAAACATGAGGTGACAGCATTGACGTGTGAAACTTGACTTTGCATTGCTTTTGTTTTTTCTGCAACTCAGAGCAAAACCATCAATTGCTTTGTTTATCACGACAACAATTTAGCAGGGCATACCGTTAGCATGTCTGTGTTGATGTTCGGTGGATCGACGAGTCTGGTGACTGACTCCACGAACACAAAAAAGGCTATAACCATGAGAAACAGACCATTGATAAACCCAGAGAGGATCTCCACACGACCATACCTGAAATCAGACGTGTGCCACTATTAACAGACAGAAATCAACTTCATCATTGGGCTCCCACACCAATGACTTCCTATCATTTTCTATGGATCCTTTTCACAAGGCTGGTATGACACCTTAAAACAATCCTTAAAAGTTCTTAATATTTTAATATTTTTTTAAAAAATGTATAAACATTTGTATGCTTTTATGAATTACTTATTTCATCTTTGCGTCAGATTACAAAAAACGAATAACTGCTCATGCGAGGTGTTTCTAATGCAACGTCTATGGGGATGAGAGTGAATTTGATGATATTCTCTCCTCTGGCTACCGTCATCAGTCTCAAACTATTTTTTACTTTTTCTGAAAATCTTGATAAAACCATCGTGGAGCTTTTCTTTTATCATTTCAGCAAATAGGATTGTAAAAAAAAATATATATATATATATATATTATATATATATTTGTTGTACTCTCCCATTGGCTGCACTCTAAGTATACCCAACCATGACACCTTCCGCTACTGAAAAATCCGGAAATGTGAAACGGGTTTATAGATTGTGAATTCGGGATCATTTAAAAACTTCTGAGATAGACGTGCGAAACACTCAATACTTTTTTGACTTAAAGAACAGAATCAAGTTACTGAAGAAGCATAAATTAGGAAATGGGACCAAACAATCTGGGTGAATGAGTCTCTAATAAATCAAAACACAAGCAAAGTAGGTTTTTAAATTTTCTTAAGAAATCATGAGTGATACCTTTGCCACATTTGGGGTTGTTACAGCTGTTATAATATTACTTTCAGGTATTCAAAGTTTATCGCTCATTTCTTTGTTAAAAAAGGTCACAACAATCTATTGTCACAGTCCTTTCACAAAAGTCACATAGCTTTAATTTAGTCTGTGCAGAGAGTTTACAGTTAACAGTTTGAATGAGAGCAAAATTTGATTTTTCTCTACAAAAAAAGAAAAAAAAAAGAAAAACATGTTAGAAATTGGATTTCAATATTAAAATTACAAACTGGGTTCATACACCTTTTCCAACTTCAAATTCCAGCTCTTTTCAAGCACTTTTAATGTGCATTTTTATGCTTTTCCAGCACCGAACAAACACGGTAAATTACGTTTATATATGCTGTATGTACTTTTTTACATTTAAAAAATTGTTGAATACTTTGGAGCATAGATTTATAGGGCTAGTTCACCCAAAAATAGTAAGAACCAAAAAGGTTCAGTTATTGGATGAAGTATCTTTTAAGTTTGGTCTCTTTCTACCTAAAGTTGATATCTCAAAAAAAGAGCTTACAGTCAGATTTTGATTAGGTGTAATATCAAAATTCCATGACCAGTCGTTCTTTTACGGCTATAGCTCCCTGTTATTTGAAGGAACGCATTGACTGAGTGTCTGACTGCTGAAATTAACCAATCCATTCGCATTCAGTTCCTGAGCAGTGGGCCAATCAGAAGAGCTTTAAGGCAAGGCAAGGCAAGCATTGCAGGCTTAGTGTGCTGCAGCAAGTTGACAAGTAAACAGTTTTAAACTATTTCTGAGCTCTGCGTTTGGTGTTTTTAGGTGCAAAGATGCATTCTGCATGAATGTCTTCTAAATATGTGCATGCAGTGAACATTTTGCAGTGAAAACTGGTCAAATAGGAAAAATTTTATGCACTCGCACAAATGCTCTTAAATATTTTGAACTCGCATAGATACAATTTCGAGGGCATATGCAACCAAAACAGTCACACTTTCGAGCCCTGCAATTTCAAATTCAAGCACTGTCCTAAATCCAAGCCCTTTTCTAACATTGAAAACATAACACTATATTAAAAATCAATCATTTTCCAGGATTTCCAGCACCCGTATGAACCCTGTACACAAAGCATTAATAAATGTGATTGTACCTTTATTTTCAAAGCATTTTAAAACTATTTTATGGGTCAAAACGCATACAAGTATATTATTAAATTATATTAGATTGATAATTTACATACGTAGCACAAATTACTTTCAAATCCGCAAGCGGCACTAGCTTACCCATAGGAATATATCCTTGTTGCTTTCCATCTGGTCATGAGGGCAGCAAACAACCCCAGAACCAAAGCCGAACAGTCAAACAGCATGTGGAAACCATCAGAAATCAGCCCTAGGCTGTTGGTCCACACACCATAGAAGAGCTCCACAAAAGTGAAGGCCTAAACCAAGATCAACATGGCTGTTAATATTGCACTAAAATATGACATAGATTAAAATGTATGCAAGTTAAAGCTGACATGGGGGTACAATTACAATTGGATGGGATTAAATAAAAGCAAATGCAATTAACAATAAATCATCTACATTGTCTTCTACACTTGATTAACCAAGTAAACACACAAACTGAAGTGACCATCGTAGAGAGAAAAACATACCAGGTTGAGGCAAAGGAAGTAGAAGATCTGCCTTGAGTCATATTCCTCCAGGATCTGTTTAAGTGAGTCTTTGATGAATCGTGGCAAAGACTGGGATGTATGTTGAAGCGCATCACCCATAAAATTATACAGAGGAGTCCCTTCAGGGGAATAACCCACCAATGTCCCTTTCTGACCCTTTGAAGAGGGAGCTGACAGTATGCTATCAGCTGAAAACATCAAATGGTAGATTCTATTAGCAAAAACCAGGGTTCACACTCTGAGTAAAACAGCAAATGATGAGCATTGAGCAGACAAAAAAGGAAAATACATCTTTAACTTTTTGTTTTTATGTTTAGGACATGGTTAAAATAAAGCTGGACTAAAAGTTTGATTAAACTGCCTTTAATTTTTTTTCAATTAGCCAATATAATAAATAAAACATTGATTAATTGATCAAATAATGATTAATTTACATAAATTAAACACTGTAAATCCTTGACTAAAACACTGTTTACAGAGACAAAAAGGTCAAAACTCAAAAGTAAAACTTGAAACCACTAATATACTGCATAATATTGGGCTTTGATTAAAAATTATTATGAAAAAAAAAACATCTAATAGAAAACATTGATAAATTATTATTATAAGTTATTATTATTATTACTAAAGTATAAATTAAATAAATTATTTATTAGTATAAGTTAAAGTATTTTTTGATGAAAAGCAAAAATCCCTGATATTCCATGATTTGGACAAAAAAATATATGAAATTCTCTAAAATAAATCAGCTTACCCATAATGAAGAAGCATGCGCTGACCAGAACTCCACCAGACAGCACATGCTCAGTGCTACTTTGCTGGCCAGTGGTACTTATGGCTCTAATCTGGCCAGTTAGTGGGTGGGTCCAGAAGTTTGCCAGCAATAGGCCGTTGAGGAACAGGAAAATGGCGCCATATCTAGCACAGCGAGAGGTTTCCAGCTTTGCCATACAGATGGACTCCACATAAAAATCCAGTATCATCACAGAGAAGATGATCATGGCAAATGGAAAGATGAGACCAGACCAGGATTCCACTTTACTCTGTGGATTTAATATTAAAATAGGTCAAGATCTTCTTAAAGAATGTCTGTATCATATTTACTATAGTGTGAGTAGGTTTATGCTTATTATTTTTAGGGCCAAATGAATATACTAATGTGCATTTAAAAGCTAAACTGTTTAACTAGTTATAGATAAAATCATTTAAAAACTTAAAATAAAAAAAATGGTCTCATGTTCAACAAACAAGCTCTTTTGCCCCCAGTTGTGCAGAAACACAGAGTGATCCATACTGTCGAAAATGAGAGAATGTAAGAATTTATAGCAAACCCTTTAATTGCAAATGTTTTGTCATTATTTTGGGTCATATCAGCTAATAGATAATTTTCAGATTAACATTCATTAAAAAAGCCAAACAAGTAAGTTTTGATTTCATGGAAAACTGTCTGTTTAACGAACAAAAATTACTTTAAAGAAAGTAAAAAATCTTTTTCTACAGTATGGTCCACAATTTCCCATTTCAACAAGAAATATACCAGTGCAGGACAGAAATTTGGTAGGCAAAATTATTTAATGGATCTTTATATAAAAATGATGGCAGTTAATAATCTTTTAGCTGTAAAAAAAAGTTTTGGCTTATTTATTTTACATCATTTTAGACATTTTAAGGCCCAGTGGATGCTGAGAAATACTGCAGAAAACAAAACTTTTGCTTGTTCTCACCTCAGTGGTTGCAGACAGCACTATGACCCAGGGTAGAAGAACTACAGCTGACACCAGATTAGACAGAGCATACAAACGTTTTGCACCTCCAATCTCCACAGATAGTTTTCTAGATGCTGTGTTGAAAGCAACCTTCAGGCACAAAGCTAAAACCAGCAGAACCACTCCACCCTGCTCAGAAAATGACAGTTAATCACAATGATCCCAGAGATTATTCAGCAAAGCATAATATCAATGATCACATAAATCTGTACTGTAGAAATCAATGACAGAACACTCAGGAGCAGAATTTTTTAAAAAAAGTCAAAGAAAACATAAAATAAAAACCTTATGGTCTGCTACACCCAAAAATGCAATCCCTGTGTATAGCGCATGGGTGAGTGCACTGTCATGATGTCCCTCAGCTGTAAGCAATAGTTAAGGAGAATAAAAGTTGTAGATGACAACAAAACATAAATGTTTCTAAATTCATATTCATGACGACACAATAAAACATTTGTCTGTAAATGTTATTCTAAAGAATAAAATGAAATTTTGTCAAAATGTAATAACATCTTTAAAGGAGCCATAGAATGCATTTAGGCAATTTATTTATATGCTGTTTGATATCTTCATAGAAGGAAAGTGGCTTAAGAAAGTGCAAAAATAACCCCAAAATGTGTTTTCAGGTCTATTTCCAACCACAGCAATTGCCTCCAATATGATATGGTTAGGTTTGACCATATTTGGAATGGTAGTGCATATTAATGAGCTCTTCGTTGAAGTTAAAGCAGCTTATGTCAGTGCCTAACAAACACACATGCACATGCACACAAAGTTATCATACTTCAGTTGCCAAAAAAATGAGCAGCTTCCTTGTTAAATGACCATCTTCAACTGAAGGGATAGAAAGGTTTACTTTAGCTAGAAGTGAGTAAGCTATATTTCTATTACACCAGAGTAACCTTGATGCTCCTAATTTGTGTTATGGATAAAAAAATAAGCTAAATGTTAATTAGACTTGACAAAAGGAGCTGACAGAGCATTTAGCGGATTTAATGTATCTGAAAACTTATTAATTAATTAATTAATTAAATAAAAAAATTCTATTAAAATAGTTAATTAGTTGATTAATTAATTAATAGCAATGTCTGCAAAAACAGATGCTGGCACCCTTTCACTCCATAAAAATCAAAGTGGTATCGAGTTATAAACGTGCATTTACATGTGCTTGTTCCCTCATTACATATTTTCATGCGTTTCTGTTACCTCATTACAATCACAAGTCAAATTACAAAATAAACAAGTTAAACTTACAAAAGAAACATTTTAACAGACATGCCTCTTTGTGGTGGCACTGATATTAAACAATAACAATAAATATTAAATCTGTATATCCTGCATTTTGCTTTTTGAAAAACTGTAAACAAAGTCATACATGGCTGCCTGCTTCATACAAAAAAGCTGTTTTACTCTTCCATAAGACCTGTTTTGTTCTAAAATAAGAGACCCCCATGCACAGCAAATATAGTACAAGCTTAGATAAACTTATTATGAAATAAGTTTTCATTTCAATAGGAAACGTTGTGGACAATCAAACTGTGCCTGGGGCATGCATATTAATCCTCCCATGTGGATTCAGTGTTTTGTGCGGATTGGGATTTTACATTTAGGATTTACATGAGAACGATGAAATGTTCAACATTTCAGAAACCATTCAGCCTAGAAATATAAAAAATGTAATTCCATGTCATCATAAAAGGGCTTTTATTTTTGTCTAATTTTGTAAACATTTGGTGTCATTAAAGTGGCAAAAAAAATGAACAATAAACATACTTCTGGTCCTTAAAGGATACGGTGCTCAGCCATTTTTGCCATGAGATCATCATTATCAAAGAGCAAAAGGCAAATCACAGCAATTATGAAGAAAGCAGCACCCCTCGTCTATATAAAAAAAGAGAACAAGGAAATATGTCAGCTGGTATGTTTAATTCTGACATTCACTAATTATTTCTCCAGTGTTCTGACCTTAGAAGGTCCCCCTCCAGAGCTGGTGAAGAGAACGCTAAGGAGAGAGATCACTACCAAATCGCTGTGCTCAAACAGCAAAAGGCTCCTAAAAGAAATCACATGAGGCAAATGCTTGAAAAAAAAAAAGACAAAGTGAGATGTTTACATCAAATTTGGCATAAAACATACCTGAGTGGTCCACAGAGTGTCAACCCAAAAAAGCCCAAGAGGGAGATAATACAGCTAATAACAGCATGCTTGAGGATTTTAATCCACTGAAG